TGGGGGGGGGGGAGGGAAGATCTCACTTGCTGTTAATTGGCAGCATTAGGAGAAGTGGGTGGAAATCACCCCTGGTTCTTTGTGTGTGTCCAGGGACACTCGGGGAGCTGTGCCCGTGCTGGGGACACTGCTGAGGCACAGCCCCCTGTCCCTGCTGTCCCCAGGCTCTGTCAGGTGCCACCACCACGCTGCTCCTCGGGGCTGCACTTTCCCTGCAGCACCTCCACATCCAGCCACGGCCCCTTTTCCTTGGCCTTTCCAGCAAGGTCAGAGCTGCAGCGGGGCCACATCCCCCGGGCCAGGCTGTCCCCAATGTCCCCATGTCCCAGGCTGTCCCTATGTCCCCAGGCCAGGCTGTCCCCATGTCCCAGGCTGTCCCCAATGTCCCCAGGCCAGGCTGTCCCCATGTCCCCATGTCCCAGGCTGTCCCCAATGTCCCCAGGCCAGGCTGTCTCCCAGCCCATGTCCCCATGTCCCCTGGCCAGGCTGTCCCTGTGTCCCCAGCCCAGGCTGTCCCCGTGTCCCCCAGCCCATGTCCCCATGTCCCCGTGTCCCCAGCCCAGGTGCTGGCAGGGATGGGGATGCAGAACCGCCTGCTTCCACACTGATAAGTGAATTCCAAAGCCGTGCTTAGCGCGGCTCGGGCTCTTATCTCCTCCAACAATGCTGGCGAGAAGTTATCGCATTTAAAGTGGTTGGAATTACCCTTTTAACATTACAGCCAGAAAGAGAACAGCAAAAAGCACCGAGAGCCCCGGAGCTGCAGCTGCAGAGGATTCGGGAGAGGCAGGGGAGGCTGGCACAGCTGGGGCAGGGCTGGGATGGGCTCTGGGGGACACTGACATCCCCCACGGGCACCAGTGGCTCCTGAAATCCTGCTGCTTTTCTGCCTGGCCAGAGCTGGGGAGGGAGGAGAGGGAAGGGAAATCGATGTCCTTCCCTGGGAGCTGCAGCTCCTCTGCAAGGGAGCAGAGATTTATTCACCCCTGAAAGCTCTGCTCCACCCAAAGTCAATCCTCACCTGGCACTTGGCCTTCTGAAGGAAACCTGATGTGTTCCCACAGGGCAGGAGGGACCCTGGGGCCATTCCTGCACGGATCACCCCGGGACAAGCAGCTCCCAAACCTCTTTAATTGGGGTGCCCAAAGCCCAGCCAGGGATGGGGCAACTCTGGCACAAGGCATGGCAATCAGTGATGCCAGAGAAATCCCAGGTCTGACTGATCAGGGCAGCTCCCAAATTCCCTTTGTGGGGATTTACTGCAAAGCCCCCACACCCCTCACCTCTGTCCCGGGACCCTGCCCATGCTGGAGAAGTCCCTGGGAGCTTCCCACAGCAGCAACATCCTGGCACATCCCATGTCAGGAGCAGCAAACATCCCTGTGTGTGCTCAGCAACCAGAATGGGAACTGGGAGCCCTGGTGCCTGCACAGGAGCACCTTTCCTCTGTTTTAAGGCCATGTTAATTATGGAAATGACATTTAAATCCTCTTGACTGGTGAAAAATGAAGTCACACACTCCCAATATGCAGCCAAGCACCAGAACAGGGCACTGAACCCCCCCAGCCCCCAAATCTCCAAGGTTTTAACACAACCAGGAGGGGATGGATT